TAGTTGAGGGGCCAAGTTGGAAGGAGTCCCAGGTTCTTAGGGTCCTGCGTGCTAATGGAGCTCGCATGTCAATGAGGGCTCCCAGGTCAATGGAGGGGTGTCCTGAGGAATCACAGGAGCCCAGACCCCACCCCCACCCACCGTTCCGCAGGAGAATGTAGAGCAACAGGACGCGGATCTTGTCGTAGGCGGGCACTGCCGCGTCCAGCAGCACGGGCACGATCAGCTTCATGGCGTCCTTTATCTTCTCCCCCTCCGCGTCCGAGCCCAGGGCCAGGTCCTGCGGGGAGCGGAGGTCAGCGGTCATGCCAGCCGCCTGGGGGAGGGGCATGGCAGGAACATGCCCAGGGTCCCCTAGCCCTTTGGGGCCTGCTTCCTCCTCTGCCTGGTCTCGCAGGTGCAGCCCCCGGCCACCAGCAAGCCCTCCCTCCACATGGGCCACCTCGGCTGCCCCACCTGCTCCACACCGCACAGCTTCTCCACCGGACCCTTGAAGCGCTTCATGCAGTCGTCAGCCAAGTGCAGGTGCGTGGAATACTGTGGGGTGGGGGTGGGGAGTCAGGGTGACAGAGACTGAGGGGAGACAGGCGGCAGGGTGGGGGAGTCAGGGGTGACAGAGACTGAGGGGAGACGGGCGGCAGGGGGGGGGAGTCAGGGGTGGCAGAGACTGAGGGGAGACGGGCGGCAGGGGGGGGGAGTCAGGGGTGGCAGAGACTGAGGGGAGACGGGCGGCAGGGGGGGGGAGTCAGGGGTGGCAGAGACTGAGGGGAGACGGGCGGCAGGGGGGGGGAGTCAGGGGTGGCAGAGACTGAGGGGAGACGGGCGGCAGGGGGGGGGAGTCAGGGGTGGCAGAGACTGAGGGGAGACGGGCGGCAGGGGGGGGGAGTCAGGGGTGGCAGAGACTGAGGGGAGACGGGCGGCAGGGTGAGGGAGTCAGGGTGACTGAGCCAAGGGGAGATGGGTGGCAGGGTGGGGGAGTCAGGGTGACAGACTGAGGGGAGACGGGCGGCAGGGTGAGGGAGTCAGGGTGACTGAGCCAAGGGGAGATGGGTGGCAGGGTGGGGGAGTCAGGGTGACAGACTGAGGGGAGACGGGCGGCAGGGTGAGGGAGTCAGGGTGACTGAGCCAAGGGGAGATGGGTGGCAGGGTGGGGGAGTCAGGGTGACAGACTGAGGGGAGACGGGCGGCAGGGTGAGGGAGTCAGGGTGACTGAGCCAAGGGGAGATGGGTGGCAGGGTGGGGGAGTCAGGGTGACAGACTGAGGGGAGACGGGCGGCAGGGTGAGGGAGTCAGGGTGACTGAGCCAAGGGGAGATGGGTGGCAGGGTGGGGGAGTCAGGGTGACAGACTGAGGGGAGACGGGCGGCAGGGTGAGGGAGTCAGGGTGACTGAGCCAAGGGGAGATGGGTGGCAGGGTGGGGGAGTCAGGGTGACAGACTGAGGGGAGACGGGCGGCAGGGTGAGGGAGTCAGGGTGACTGAGCCAAGGGGAGATGGGTGGCAGGGTGGGGGAGTCAGGGTGACAGACTGAGGGGAGACGGGCGGCAGGGTGAGGGAGTCAGGGTGACTGAGCCAAGGGGAGATGGGTGGCAGGGTGGGGGAGTCAGCCCCTAGCCCTTTGGGGCCTGCTTCCTCCTCTGCCTGGTCTCGCAGGTGCAGCCCCCGGCCACCAGCAAGCCCTCCCTCCACATGGGCCACCTCGGCTGCCCCACCTGCTCCACACCGCACAGCTTCTCCACCGGACCCTTGAAGCGCTTCATGCAGTCGTCAGCCAAGTGCAGGTGCGTGGAATACTGTGGGGTGGGGGTGGGGAGTCAGGGTGACAGAGACTGAGGGGAGACAGGCGGCAGGGTGGGGGAGTCAGGGGTGACAGAGACTGAGGGGAGACGGGCGGCAGGGTGGGGGAGTCAGGGGTGACAGACTGAGGGGAGACGGGTGGCAGGGGTGGGGGGCAGGTTCCTGCCTGTGCTCACCTTGTTCAGCTCCTTCTGGTATTGTGGCATCTTTTTCAGGATGTGGGACAGGTCTTTGATGTTGGCCTAGGGACGGAGTGGGGGTGAGGTTCCCACTCCAGGCTTGGGATCCAGGCTGAGGCCCCACCCCCAAGCTGCCCTTCCTCGTGCAGGCCGGCCGTACCTTGTCGGTGGTCATTCTCTTGCTCTCACAGAATGTCTTCAGGAGCTCCGTGACCTTCCTGGCAGTGAGGGTGGGTAGGGGTGAGGTTTGGGGCTGGTGCCAAGAATGTAGCTTGAGGGCAGTGTGGGGGTCACACAGCTGGGGGGGGTCTGGGAGCCAGGGGACACATGTCCCTGCACCATGCCGGGTGCCAGCCCACACTGGGGACACTGGAGAGTTGGCTGAGGGGCGTGGCTTGTAGAGGGGAGCACTCACCAAGGGTGGAAGGCCTGTACCAGGCCACAGTGGGGGAGCAGTGGTGATGCTGGTGGGAGGGATACAGGCAGGGACCACGGTGCAGAAGGGCCCACCCCCAGCTGCCCTCCCCCACACACGTACTTGGACACGTCCGCAATGTGCATGTGCCGCAGCTCTACCCACAGGTCATCGTCCTCATCCAGCAGCACCGCCTTCTCACAGGCCTCGCTCAGCCCGGTGGTCTCATACCTGCAGGCGGGAGACACGAAGGTCAGGAGCATGAGCTGAGGACCAGGGACCCAGGGGCCCAGGGGCCCAGGGGCCCGGGTCAGTTGTGATGGGGGAAAGGGGTTTCCGGGAACCGCCCACCTGTACGTGTCCTGCTCAATGTCCAGCAAGTCATAGGCCATGGCCTGGAACGTGAGCTCATGCAGCAGTGGGGACACGGGGTCGGCCGCCCGGTCCATGATCAGCAGCTGCGAGCGGGTTTTCTCAGGGCCCTGGGGTGGGCAGGGATGAGGACATTAACCCTGACCCTGGCTGGGGCCTCGCCCCACCTCCCCAGCCCACCCCCTTACCTCGCCCAGACTGGGAGTGTCTGCCTTGAAGGCATTCAGCTTGGCCAGGACTGCGTGGGCCAGCTGGGCCGTGTCCTCTGGTCCCCTGGGGGTGGGATGGGCAGATATGGGGCCAGAGGGAGTGGTGTTCGGGAGGGCCAAGCACAGACTGGGGGTCAAGCATGGGGCCAGGGATAGGAGTCAGGTAAAAGGGTGAGGACTGGGGCTAGGGTCCACAAAGAGGTGAAAGGTGGGATGCAGGATGGGGCCGGGGGCAGGGGGCAGCATCAGGGTGGGGTCCCCACTTGTGGTAGCGGATGGCTGGGTACTCCTGCAGGGTGGCGCAAAGCGTGGCAATCTGCTGGGCCAGCGCCTCAAGCTGCCGTGCCCGCTCCCCTGCCCGGAAGGGGCAGTAGAGGTTGTAGGTGCTGTGGGGGGCATCCAGGGAGAACACCTGCAAGGACACCAGTGCCAGCGCTGCCTGGGGCATGCACCTGCCTGGAGGAGGGGATGGAGAAATACCCAGCACCCGCCCCCCTTGGGCGGGACAACTCGGGGGCTGCTCTGTGCCCCTTGCAGCTGCCCAGTGGGACGCAGCTCCAGGTGCCCCAGTCATTCCATGTTGGCTCCTCTCCTCTGACTCGCTGTCCCCTTTGTCTCTGAGCCTGTTTCTGAGGGAACCTGGGTTGCCGGGTAACAGACCCCCACAACCTGCCCAGGGCGAGGCTGGGCTGTACCTGGGCCTCGTAGGGGAGGAAGGCAAGGTGGATCTCCTTCAGCGTCTTCACTACCTTTGCCAGACGGGAGCGGCCCAGCTCAGTGAACAGAGGCTCAGGGCAGGCTAGGGTGGGCAGGAGGGGACATTAGACCAGGGCCAGCCCCACCCCCAGCCTCAACCCCTTCTCCAGCGCTCTCCGCAGGTGATCCTCACTCACTGTCTGTGAAGAAGATGTGTGCCGCTTTGTAGGTGAAGGTCGGGGTCCCCCGGAAGTCTGCGATCAGGGCCTGCACCGACTGGGGGATGCAGATCAATCTCCAGGCCTGGCCCTGCACCCCCGGGGGCCCCTGTCCGCTGCCCCAGCCCCTCAGCCTTGCCTGTGCTCCCACACACATGCAGACGTGCAGAGGGGCATGCACCCACGCACTCACACACTCGCTCACATAGGCACCTTCTCCGTGGGGCTCAACAAGTAAATGGCCTCCAGGCTGGGGATGGGTTCTCGCCGCTTGTTGATGTCCTCCACAACTAGTCGGAACAGAGGAAGGGGCACGTGAAGGCAGCATTGGGACCGGCGCACAGCACGGGTCAGACATGGTAGTGCTCTGCACTTCAGGGTCACACAGCCACACCCCAGGGGCTATGCGTTCTGGGGGCCCTACACGGAGTTCACCCTGAGGGTTCTACACAGGTACACACACAGGGTTGCACAGTTGGGGAGTCCTGTGTGGGGGTTGCCCATCATGAGCTCCCACACTCAGGCCCCATCTGGAGAGCATGGGGTGGGTGTCACTCACTGGTGATGCCCTCAGCCAGGATGTCTGACATCTTGCAGCAGGATGACAAAATGCGCATGCTTGGGTGGTCCATGATGAGCACCTGTCCAGATGGACGGAAGAATGGACGATGGGCGGACAGGTGGGCAAGAGAGGCTGAAGCTGCCCGAGGTGGGGCTGGGGTGGTGAGCAGGACTGTCAGCTTCAAGAGCTGGAGGGAGGACCCAGGACCCCAGCCCCACTCATCAGACCCACCCAGACCCCTCCGGGAGTTTGGGGGTGCCTCACATTCAGGGCACCCCACATTTGTTTGCACGAACCATCTGGCTCACTCCTACCTTCCATTCACCATCCTTTTTGACGCTCCGAATGACTCCATTCAAAATTTCTGTGGGGGAGGGTGGGCTTAGGATGCTGGGTCCTCTGCCCCCGACACACACCCTTAAGCCACCTGGGTCCAGGCTGGGCTTCCATCTTAACTCCCGTTTACCCCTCCCCCATCCTGTGACGTAGCTCCTGTGTCACCCCCCAACTTGTAAACAGGGAGGCGGAGGTTCGAAGAGGGCAAGTGACGAGACTAGGCGCCCTGAATGGCTCAGTGGCCAGAGCCTGTTACACAAGCAGCCGGATAAATACGCTTTAGATGAGCAGTAACCGCAAAGTCAGGGCTCGCATGCGGTCCTCCTGCCGCCAGAAGTGGACTTGGCTTCACCATGGCTACCTCAACCGCGCCTGGTGGGGAGGTTTTGACCAGAGTCCCCACTCCACCTCCATCAGTTTCCACTGGACGAGAATGCAGGAGCCCCTGGTCCCCGGCTTTGAAATGTGCCTGGCTAGGGTCATTCCATCACCCAACCTCCAGCCTCAGTTTCCTCATCTGTAAAATGGGATCAGTGGCCTTCCGGGCTCCCTTTAACCACTATGCAGGAGGTTCCTTCTTCAGTTGGGGTGCTGGGGGTTGACCGCACTCCGCCTGCCCAGCGGAAGGGGGACACGGGAAGGAATGGCCCGCCCTGCCCGAGTGTCACCACTGTTATCTGGGCAGCCAGAGCGGAAGGAGCAGCTGAGGCCGGAACTACCCGAGGTTCAGGATGGCGATCTCCACCCCTCCCCCAAGTCCAGCCCCGCGCGGCCTGGACGCCTGGGTCCTCACGTCGCATGGGGCGCGGAGGAAGGCCCCCACCCCTGGACTAGAACCGGGGCCTGGACACACCCCCGGAGCACGCCCCCCAGCTGGGGTCGCCGGTCAGAGCACCCAGCCCGGCCCCACCTG